GGACCCCGAGGGTATGGAATGGGCTTCCACGGGACGTGGTTGAGGCCACATCGATGAGGGTGTTCAAAGATAGGCTAGACATGCAATGGTGGGCATGTCGTGAGCAGAGCTGGCTGGAGCCAGGGGTCAGACTAGATGGCCCGGGAGACCCCTTCTAACTCGCTCTGTTTCTATGTTTTAAAGAAAAAGTGGCATCTCATACACAGAAAAATATGGTAATTTCTTCCAGACTTTATTCAGTTTACTGCATTCCAGCGTAGGAAAGCAATCACCATGCATGCCTTCTTGCTCACTTTGTTGTTTACTTGAATTTGGCCCCAAGCATAATTGAGAGAAGCATAATTAAGAGGACTTATCCTTAATGAGTTATTACTGTCATCATATCCAATTAAGGCAGCATGACGTGCAGGCAAAGCAACAGGCGCATTTACTTTTCTTGTAGAATGGCTTTTGATATCATTCAATCCTGCACTGAGCAGGGCCCCCTTGGCCCCTTCCAACTCTGCTTTGATTCTATGGACTGCATTTTTATTCATGTATTTATTTATCAATAGCCACAGATCATTGGACTGGAAAAACACAGACAATCTGATTGCAAGTACAGTATATAACATTGCAATCATGTGTAGGTATGCTGAGAAACAAGTCCCATGGAGATAAGTGGGCTTACTTCCAGGTAAGTCAGGAAATGATTGTTGTCTGAGTCAGCTGATTTAAAAACCCCAAACTGCCTGGGGCAAACCTAGGGAACCTCAGAATTTCAGTAACGTCAAAGATGTTGCTAATCTTTCTCTCCGAATCACTGCAGTTGAACTCAAAGACAAACATAACAATCTTTACAGTCGTCACAATAGATTTCTTTTAGAGATGTAGAGCTTGATTTACACACTTGTGCACCAAGAAGTTTACACAAGTTGATATATACAAAAGATATATTAAGTAATAGTAAAAGCAATAATTTCTAAATATTTAGTGTTCAGTATTTTGATCTATGCCCTCATCAGTGGCTGTGGTGTAAAACTATTTATATTCTATGCATCATTTCATGGCAGTGAATGTGACACAACAATGAAACATACTACTATTAAAATAATATTGTAAGACACAGCAATATTTGCGATCATTGTTTGCCTGCTGCCTGGGGTGCAGTGTGGGAAAAGGACTCTTGTCCATGCTTGCACTTCAGTTTTAGAATGCTCTCCCAGGCAGAGAAACGTCTCTGAGGCCTTTCTGGTGCTTGATAGAGAGAGGCATTTTTCTTTTTCCAGGCCACTGTCAATTTGTTTTACTCAGATTGTGTTTATACCACGTTTATGATGCTTTTATGGAGTTGCTGTTCTTAGTTTATTTTTATGCATTTTGTTATTTTATGTTGTTTTAAACCTTTTAAGATAAGCTATCTTGATTATGTGTTTGAACAGTGCAAGTACAAGTTTTTAATAACAAATAGAAAGCAGCACTTAAAAAACCGGAAACAATTTTCTAAAAAGCAGTTGGCAGATCGTACACAATCCAAATCCTGAATTAAAAAGCATCCACAAGTAAAATTGTTTTATCTGTGTGACTGGTGAGGTATCCAAAGTAATCTCAATCAATGGCATACCCCTTTAATCTCAAAGAAACTACAGGTTTGTACAACAGCAGATAATCCTTGGGATATTGCGGATAACTCTTTTCTTGTGTTATGGGATTGCAGGAATTTGCCCATGGCAGGAAAATGGTCCCAAGGCACCTGCTGAAGCTAAACCAGTCTGGGTCCAGCCAGTGCTTGGAGGGGAGACAGCTTGGGAATCCCATGTAAGCCACCTGGAATTCCATAAGGGAAGAAAGGGAATGATGATAATATGGTGATGGTGGTACATGTGAAAGCATCTTCAGTGTACCGTTTGTAGCTCATAAAATGGAATATCTATCATTACACCTTCTGAAGCAGGAACCTTGTCTAATCTGCATTAAGTGAGATCAGGTGTCATGAACCATCTTTTGTGTGTAGTTTTAAGCATTGTTAGATAAAAATGCTGAAGACTTCCTTCAAAACCAAACATTGATACACATGCAAATGAACTACTTCTTAGGACATTGAAAGACGGGTCTTTTCAGACATAAGAAAACTACAAGTGTGTGAAAGGTGAAAATGCATTGTGGTATTTCTTTTATGCTAATAGACATGAAAATTAAGCAGGCAGAATTGCCTGCAGTTGTGAAGTGTCTTTTGAAAGCAAGATTGATCCCAAAATATCTACTATCAAGTCGAATAGAAACACTCCAAAGTCCCATCAAACATATTTAAACCTCTAGATCTTGAGCTGCCTAATGCTGGCTGGATTGTGACCTCAGTGACATGCAGCAGTTGCTTGATGGTTGTGAATTTTGCTCTAACCAAGTTCCCCTTAAGAAGACTTGAAGGCAGGGTTGTGTAATGCACTGAACATCAGACAGACTGGTGGAATTTCCCCTCAGATGTGCCAATATACCTGGATTTTGTTTTGTTCTATGTTCCTGTGCAAAAAACTTGAATTCACGTGCTTATATAAGTTATCAAGAATGACTTTACCTACAGGAATGTTGTCCTAAATCGTTAGATGGCTTTGGAAAAAACAGATTAGGCACATTCTTGGAAGATAAGGCTTATCGATGCCAATCATAAATTCAACTTCCCTGTTCAAAGACAGGATTCCTCTGAATATCCAAGGCTGGGGATGAACAGTTCTGGGCTGTCCATAACCTAAGGGCTATATTTGCCTACTTCTTGAACATCTGGCTGGCTGCTTGAGGGGGTGTGTTGGGTCACCTCTGACCCCCATGCAGGAGATTGAACTGATAGTGTTTGGGCTACGTGCACCTCCCAGATCCCTTTAAATCAGGAATTGTTCTACTATAAGATGTGAAGTATGATCAGAAAAGAATAGATCCGCCTTCTCCAATCTGGTGCCGGACTGCTCCTCCTGCCATTCCATTGGCTGGGAATGTTGGGATGTGCTGTCCCACCACATCAGGAAGCAGAGAGGACTGGAATGGGCTGACCATTTAAATAACGTGCGGACCACTGCTTCCCATGGAAGTGAAGGGCCATGTGTGTCAAGCTGTGCTCTGTGCAGTTCTGGACCCCATGGGAACTTGTCCGGATTTTTGTGTGTGAAGATCAGGCAAGGTTCTCAGAAAGACCATGGTCCACTCACAGCTGAGTTTAAGTGGAGCTGCAGTTCACACAGAGCAGGCACACCTCAGTGATAACCATTTGTGTACCCCAGAACATATGCCAACACCTTCTGCAGTGCACCAGGGGTTCTCACAGGCAAAACCTTGTGGAAATATTTCACTGAAAATAGACAGAAAGGGAAAGGGCCTGAATGCCATGAGCCACTGAGCTCTCTTGCTTTAGATCTTCTGCCCTCCTCTGGTAAATGCTGCATCTGATGAAAACAGCAGTGTCCAAGATGCTTATGCCAGACTAAATTTAAGATGCCACAAAACCCTTTTGCTGTGAGAAGCATGTCATGGCAACCCCTCTGGAAACCCTGCATTTCACAATGGTGTCATTTTTGATAAGTGCATCTTACCCTGGGCACTTGTAGGGCTTCTGACAGTGTTCCTTGACCACTACAGCCAAGTAGTTCTTTCTTCTCAACTCACCTCTTCTAGATCCCCATCCTGTGCCAGGACCACCTCCTGGCACAGTTTGCCAGGGCCTTAATCAGGTGGCTTCTGCAAACTTGGCAAGTCCAAGGTCGTTTATTCCATCAGAGCCCAATCTCCACCTCCTTGTACACCAGCCCTTGCTCTGCCGGCTTTCCCTGAGCCAATCGGCGTTCTTGGGGCTGGCTTGGAGGGGCCCCACCCCAAAAAAAGGCAAATTACACCTCTCTTTTCCTAAGTCTCTTTGTACACAGCTGGGGCCCTTTGCTTTCATGCATGCAGTGATTACTAAAAAAAGAAAGGAGGATCGTCATCGGCGCTTACTCAGCAGAACAGCAAAGGCTGTTCGGAAGATGTGGCTGGCTTCCAGATCACTTGGTTCTGCCCTTGCATCTCTGTGACCAAAGGACACTGCTGATCCTTCTCTCGCCTGCATAGCTTGGACGCGTCCAGCCTTGACATCCCCGATTGGAGCAGGCGCCACCGTACTGTAAGTTGCCAGCAGCTTGCATTCGAGGGGTGGATTCTGGATTTCCCTTCCCTTCCTCTTTCTCCTGCTCACTCGTTCAAACTGACAGCTGACATGTCGAGGCCCCTCTGCCGGTGGGCGGCTCTCTTTTCTGCAGCAGCTTCTGTGGGAAAAGGTGCAAGGTGTGTTTGCTTCGCGGCAGAGAGATGAATGAATGATGCAATCCCAAACATTGGAAGGTTGCTGTGCTGTGTACAGGTTGCGCTGCTGCTTCTCCTTGGTTAACTTGTTTTTGGCAGGGTGAGACACAGAGAGGCCACACGCATCTCACATGCGGAGAGCACTGGGTTACACGGGCACATTATAAGCTGCCCTCTACCAAGTCAGAATATATCAGTCTTGCTGACAGCGGCAGGCAGCGGGTCTCCGATTTCAGGGGGGAGTGTTTCCTGCCCAGCCTGGAGACGTCGGGGGTTGCGGCAGGAGCCTCCTGCAGGCAGAGCGGCGTCTGCTGCTGTGCTGGGGCCCTTCCGGCTTGGGAAGGCTGTGCTAGGGCTATTCAAGCAAACACTGATTTCAGAGGAAACTGCTAAGGAGAGCCCTTTTAGATCAGGTCACAGGCTGGCTCTTCTGCTTCAGCAGCCTGCTTTTCACAGACTTTTTCACAGTCTTATGTTGCTCAGAAACTCACAAGCCCGGGATAAAGCGTGTGCCCTGCCTGTTGCTTGTCACATGCCGCCCACAGTGTCATTCCCTCCGAGGTTCTGTTTTGCCCTCTTGCCCAAGCGTCATCAGGAGACCTCCCTTCTACTAATTGGTCCAATCTTTTTTTTTATTTTTAAGGGCATTTAAGACTGTCCTGAGCCCTCTGACCCTCTCTGACATCCAGAAACTTGCACTCACTGTTACTTAAAGCTCTTGGGTGCTGCATGAGGTAACCCATGCTAGGAAGAGACCAAACCGAAACCTTGCACTTACCAAAGGAAATGTTAGGAAGGAAGCAAGCAAGCAAATTCCACCTCAGCAATAAACTTTTGAAGTTTTACCATTCATCCAGGCTGCCATCCAGCTGTCAGCTATGTGCACAGGAAGCCCTGTGGGTTCACGTGGGTTGGGGGGAGACACATGATGTAACTCCGTGTGGGATTGCAGCATCCCTGTGCATGTGGCGTTCACGCTGCTCTGTTTGTTTCTCTGCAGTGTCTCAGGCGTTCCGGCAGAGAGGGCAGTGTCCCCAGCTGATCAGTAGTTCAACAAGGCCATGGGTGGGAACAACCTCCAGCAACCTGGCAGTGACTGGGTGCAGAATTCACACTCCGGGGCTACCAGGAGCCTCTCCTGGTTTTGAAGCACCCGCAGACTGGGGACCTACTTGCTTATAAGGACAGCCTGCCCTGTAGGATAGCCCCCCACAACTTGGTGCGGTCCGGATGTGTTGGGCTACAAATCTCATAACTCCACAGCCAGCCACATCCAGTTGAAAATGTTCCAGTATAAGTCCAGTTCAAAAATAAAAGAATTCTAAGAAGGGAGAGATGGCAGGGGCCCTGAAGGGACCCTCCCACAGTGAGAAGCCCCTGGACAGCACATGCTAAATCTGGCCCTCGTCATGTCCACGAGGACAAGATGGATTGTCTTTCTGCCTGAATGAGATGCAGTGGCAAGCACCACAGTGCAAATGAGATTTGGTCAGTCTGTGGGGACAGCTGTTTCAGTGACCAGCAGCCACAGTGGCTAGTTCAGTGAAGCCCCTCTTGCCAGTGCCTGTACCTGTTGTTGGGACGGGGAGGACATGCCATAGAGATGGCGTGTTGCTGGCTCCACACCTTGTGTGGGCTTCCCAGAGCCCTCTGGTTGGCCACTGTGGGGGGGAACAGGATCTTGGCCTACAAAAGATGTTGGTCTTTTGGTGTGATCCAGCAGGGCTGTTCTTACTTTCTTACACTGGACTTCATGATTTAAAACCACCTGTATTGTCAGTGTTTTATAGACTGGCATAACTGAAAAACAAAACAAAGCTGGACTTGCCCAAATTAAAACAACAGATGGGAGCACAAACTCGTAAAAGGAAGATGCAAGCTGACAGTCAGAAAAGCAAGGAAACTGTTTGAGGAACACATTGCTAACAATAAAGAATCCTTTAAATATATCAGAAGGAAGAAAGAAAGCAGCTAAGGAAGCAGTTGGGCCATTGGATGGTAGAGGAGCGCTAAGGATGTGGGGAGGAAATTGCAGAGAAAATGAATGAATTCTTTTAGTCACTCTTCACAGCAGAGGATGAAGAGCAGATACCTGACCTTGAGTGTATGTATTCTGGAAGGGAGTTTGAGGAATTAAGGCAGTTTAGTAGTGATAAAAGATTAAATTCTCAATCTTATTGACAAACAAAGTCAACAAGTCACCCCATCTTTCCTTATTATCTCTGCTCACATAATGCTTACAATCTAAACTATAGCTTAAAGGCATGGCAAAACAAAGGTAACACAGCAGGTGCTCAAGCAAATGCATACTTATTTCATTCATTAATGTATCTTCCTTATATCCTTCCTACCTTATCACTTCACTCCAAAGAGGCGTAAACAAGATTAAAAATATGAAGTAAAAACAAAAAGGATAGCAATAGAACTGATTAAAATGCCAGCAAATTAAAGGCAACTAAAAGGACATGGCGCTCAGGAAAAGCCATGAACAGCATACAGAAAGCAGGATGGACTTTGCCTGGCACAGAGACAGCAGCTGCTTGTAGGGGGCATTCTGTCCTTTGGGGGCCGCCACGATCAGTGTCTCTTTCTCCAGTGTCTTAGTAGAGAAGAAACTCTATTGAGCCCGGTGGAACTTACCTCTGAGTTCCCCATTGGGCTGCACTCCATTGCAGCCCAACTCAAAGCGCCACAGATTCTTCCTGCTTTTTCACCAAGTTTTCCTCTGTAGATGTGCTGCTTTCTGTCCTCTAGCCATATGTTCTTCTCACCTTTCTCCCTTTATGTTCACATCCAGTGAATGACCTGCCATCCCAAAACTGGAAAAGCATGAACACCCGCTCCCTCCCCCCCCGCCCAGCATTCTCCTGATGAAAGAATTTGGGCAGGTGGGAGTTTGCTGAAAAGCATCTGAGTGGCACTGAGCAAGGCAGGGAGGTCACAGTTGGATACTGGCTGTTCTGGTTGCCCTTGAATGTTGGCAGTCTTACAAAAAAACAGGTTTGTTAAAATGTTATTCAGTTATTTGTCTGTAATTGTTTATGCTGGTCTTCAGCCAAAAAGTTTCCAGATCAGGTGATACAGAATCAGTAGAACAAGACAGTCCCAGCCGGCCGGCCTGCATCTAAAAAGATGTAACACATGAAGAGAAAGGGATGTCTGGGGATGAGGGGAGACGGGGGAGGAATGTATGCACAGGACTCTCCTTGCGCCCTGCTGCCTCATCTCTCTTGGGATGAAGAAACCATGGTTGGTTTTCCATTTCCCAGTGCTGCACAATTGCTCATCATCCAGGCAATTCTTAGCACTTCCTGCCTCTTACCCAATCCCCGGGCAGCATCTTGTCATACCCATGGTGACACTGGTTCTTCCACCAACCACATAGATGGTCCTTTAGCTCCTAGAACTGGTTTCTGCAAAGAAACACAATGCCATACACAAGACGCAAACTCCAGATCACAGAAGCCTGCCTTTATTCTTACCATGCCAGCACTTGTTCCCTCCTCACGCTTTCATCAGTCCCAACCTGCCTCACTCCTGCAAATTATACCCTGCAAATATTTTTAAAATGCTTGGTGTGCCAGATGCCAAGCGGGAAGCCATCTTGCACAACCTGGTAATTGCCAAGCCGAATGCACTCCCCGCTCGCCCCTGTGGACGGCGGTCTGCGAAGGAGTGGCCAGCCTCCCAGCCCCGGCCGTGGCAGCCCCAGGCAGGCGTACTGCATTCCTGGCAGGCTGCAGGACTGCCTTCGCCAGGAGGGCACCTCCTGGATGCCTTGTGCCGCAGCAGTCTGCATTCCGAGAAACACGACTCCTGGAGCAGGACAGAGCCCCTCCTGCCCCAGATTTCCCAGCCTGCATGTGTGTTGTGCGGAAGGCCTGAAGGACAAGCCTGAAGTTGTGGTCCACGTTCTAGATATCAGAGATAAAATGGAGTTTCCCAGGGATCTGAGCCACGTTTTTTCCCTTCTTCCCCAAACTGACCAGACTCAAGAAAAAGGCTTGTAAATCGACAGAGGCTGGTTACCTGTATGGAGGAGTAATCGCTTATAGGCAAGCAAGCCCAAGGCTGCGTTCCCTCGTTCGTGCACAGCTTTGTTCATGAGTCGGCGTGAGCCCCAGCTCAGAAAATGGTGCCATTTGCCTGAGCATCTCATCTGGGCGCATGTTCTGAAATGGGAAGGGCTTCGTTCCAGTGTTTCTTGGAGCCTCGGCCTCGGCCTGGCACGATCCCGACTCTAACTGCGGCAGGGTCCAAAGGCACCCAGGCAGCCAGCGCCCATGCGCAAGGGGCCTGGTAGGGCAGATGAGAGGAGGGGTGAAATCCCCAGGAGACAGTTCGGGCAACCTAGGGGAGCGGAAAAGTACTTGCCAGATTGACGCAGCTCTTGCCTTTGTACCGTGCAGTGTGTTCCTGACAGTGGAAGGACCCGTAGCCGCCTTCTCCAACCTCCGGATTCACAGTCCAAAGCAGCTGGGGGATGCCAGGTAGAAGAAGGCCTAGTTTCCATATCACCTGGGGTATGGGCTTCCAAGGGAGGTAGTGGAGGCCCCATCGGTGAGCCTGTTCAAGGAAAGACTGGACACCCACATGCTGGGGCTTGCATGAGAGGAGCCGGCTGGAACCGGGGCTCAGACCAGATGGCCGGGAGGCCCTCCGGACTCGCGGCATTTCTGTGTTTCTGCCAGACTCCGCTGCCTAACAGAGAAGCAGGGTTTGACCAGTTCCCGTAAGAGTCTCTGTTTTGCGAGAAGCACCTGTTGGCCCTGCATGTGTGGGATGGGGCAAGCTCTGCATGGAAAGAAGCTCCTTCCCAAATGCAGCTTCCGTCTGGCAGAACAGCATGTTTTGGCAAGCTCCTCTATACTTTTCATCATTGAACAGACATGTTGCAATCCAGCCTTGGGCCATGGATTGGGGGATGCGGTGACGCACAGAGCTGGAGTTTCAGCCTTTCCTAGCAGCTAGGAAGCCTGGAAGAAAAAAGTTGGGCCCACTCCAGAGATGTGAGCAGCACGTGCTTTGTTCATGGCCTTATGCAATCAGGCGTCACAGTGCCTGGTGTCCCAGCCCTGCCCCAGAGTTTGACTTAGAATAAACAGGCCAGTTGGAAGCTGTCGGTAAGTCAAGGCTGCCGCTGGGCAAGCGGCAAGCTCCACTTTCACAGTCCCAGCCTCCACCCTGCACCACACCAACCGTCTAGACACGGGCTGCATGCACAACACCAACTTCAACTGCCTCAGCTAAGAGCTGTGCCTGGAATCCTGGGAATGGCAGCTTTCCGATGGGATAGAAGAGCCTTTCCCACCCCAGTGCTGGGTGGCCACTTGTGCATCGCCAAAGAAGAGGAATGGCATTAATGTATTTATCTGGGTCTTTCTTTCCCGTCTTTTTCCTCTTGCAAGGAACCTGAGATGGCTTGTGTGGTCCTCCTCCTCGTCCACCATTTCGCCCTCACAACAGCCCTGTAAGGCAGGCTAGGCTGAGAGCCAGCAACTCGCTCACAGTCACCCAGGTGACTAGAGGATAGTTGGAGTTCACATTTACATAGTCTTAATATGCATATGCTAATTCATAGGCAGGCGTCAAGCCTTAGAAGTAATCTAATAAGCAGAAATACAGTGCATCTCACTCTGATTAAGAAGACGGTGACTTGTGTGTTTGCCCGCTCAGTCTGGCCTCACAAGGATTCTTACAGTGCCTTGTCTGTACTCTGGAATAGGGCAGGGCAGCCCTTCCTCAGAAGAACGTGAAAGAGGGCGCATGGCCATCCTGCACTGGACCCTCCTGATGTGCTGGACCGCAACTCCCATTGTTCCCAATTCTCAGTGCCAAATGTCTGCTTGGATTCTTTGGGCTTACATATTACTGTTAAAAAGGGCTAGAAGCCCATGTATGTTTGCAGCCCGTGTGGTGCCAGCCCTTATATTGGTGCATCATGGGGCATGTGGTAACTGGAAGCCTCGAAAGACGTCCCCAAACCTTTGAGGGACCTGCCCTGCCGTCTCTGTCCCTCCCGAACATCTCTTGTAGAAGCGCAATGCACTGGTGTTACTGCAGATCCGTCTGAAATGCACCTGGCACATTTGGGTGCTCACGGTGGCCTGATGGTCCCTGTGGACACCTGGCCACCAGACTACTGTTTCTGGACCCTTGGCAGAGCTGCAGAAAGAGTTCCGGTGCCCACTGGAGACTATCCAGATGGCTGTTAGTTGTGGGGGAGCCTGTGCAGGAGTGTTTATGGCTGCCCAAGCATGGTGGCTGCTGAATGCAGCTAGCCCTGCCTCTAGAGAGGTGCCACCAGGCTCTTGCCTGAGGGAGTTGCTTTCCCTCTCCCGCCCCGCCCCGCCCCGCCTTGCCCCCTGGTTCCCCTCGCCATTTCTGGTGCTCTGCTTCTCCTCCCAGTTTCCTCTCATTCCCTAGATCAGCCTTCCTCAGCCTGGCTCATGGAACTGTGGAGCTCGGAGGGACCAGAAGAGCATCGGGTCCAACCCGCTGCTCGGTGCCGGAGGCCGAGTGGATGGCTGTCCGGCGGCAGCATGGCTGGGTGGCCATGGAAGTGGCAGTCTGGCATGTCTGAGGGCACAAAACCGGGGAGCCTGGATGCAGAGGCTCTGAGCTGGGACTGAACCGATTTTCCTAAATCTCTTCTGTTTGTGTTTTGCAGATTGTCAGGGGTCTGTTCTTTGCTCATGGGTGGAATCTTCTTCTTTTAATCAGAATTTTGTTCTACTTGTGCTAATGCACATTAACAAATGTGCTAAATTTGTTAATGTGCATTAGTGCTAATTTCTTTCGTATATGCACAGTAACCCTAGTTCACAACGGTGCAAATTGCTCCCCAGAATGAAAAAATGGTCGGCAAGTTTGTGGAAGCTGCATAACTTGGAAAAGGTGGTCTGCTGCAGCACCCTGAGGCAAGACTCTGACATCTCCACTTTCAGATGCTTTAGCACTATATTAGTTTATCTCCCCCGGCCCCCACACACACCCCTGGCTTTGGATGCTGTTCTGCCCCATTGCTTTAGGTCAAGTATCCTGAATTCTAAATGATGATGTCAGTGGCTGGAAGGGAAAAGGGAATGGTGTGTGTGCCTGCAGGAGACACTGTATTTTTCTCTTTTCAAAGTGGACGGTGGTTACTTATATTCAAATGTAGCTTTCCCACTCTGCTGGCTGTTAGGAAGTTGGCTGATAGTAAAGAAAGGCGATAAGAGGGAAAATCGATCTTTTGTGAGTCCTCTGAGTGCCAAGTCGCAGGTGCACTCTTTACGTCAGAAGGGTTAACTCAGCAGGGGAGCCAGTCTTGGCTGACTGCCCGATGCCTGTGCTGCCCCTGCAGCCAGCAAATCAGGCGCTGCCTCGCTCGCCTCCTCCACCGCCCGCTGCTGCTGAAAAGGACCGTGGCTCTCGCCATTCCCTCCTCACTCACAGCTGCCAGCCACAGAGCCCCATCCAAGATGGCCCAGCACAGGGTGCAGGGTGGCGATTTCCAGAACGAGCTCATCTTCCTCTCGCAAAACAGAAAGGCCCCCAGAAGGACGCCCTCGCTGATGGAGCTGAAGGAGGTCTTCCAGAACGCCGACGCGGTCTGCTTCGATGTGGACAGCACCGTCATCCGCGAAGAGGGCATCGACGAGCTGGCCAAGTTCTGCGGCGTCGGAGACGCGGTGGCGGAAATGTACGTACAGCTGCCTCCCACTTGGTGCCGTGGGAAGGACGAGCGTGGCGTGGCTCTCCTGAGCAGCCAGGCTGTGCAGTGGGGCCAGGCCTGGGCAGGCGCCTGCTGAAGGCTGGCACCAGCAGGGCCCGTGGCCCCCTCCTCTTCCCCGCTGCGGCCTGTTGCTCGGCCAGCCTCTTTCTTCCACCCAGGCGGCAGAGGTGGGGGGAGGAGCGGCACGGCCTCTGCGCTCACAGTGGCACTCCAGGTGAGCAGGTATCGGGGAGGAGGAGGAGCCAGAGCAGCGGACTCCCCGGGGAAGACTGCCCTCCAGGACCCGCAGCTGCTTGGTGCTCAGCTCCATCCTGGCCAGGACGTGGTTGTGTCGCACAGACCGGAACAGCTGCTTCCTTACCCTGAAGCAGCCGGGCCTTGTGTGATGCTGCAGAAGGAACGGGCAGCCACGGAGCTGGCTATTCTTGCCCTCCCCTCAGCACCTCAGCAGGCTGCAGACTAGCTTGGGCTTGTGTGGCAGGAGGGCCAGCTTGAATCTGTAAGCTAAGGGAAGGAAAGGTGTGGCCCACCTTTCCCATCAGCCCCTGCCAGTGGAGCCAGTGGGGAGAGATGGCGGGAGTTGTAGGCTCCCGCCGTCTGGAGAGGCTCTGCTTCCCCTTCCTTGTTAGTTCTTTTAAGGACTATTTGATGCCCGCTCTGCGGTCAGTTTGAAGACTCTTGCTGGGATCCATCCCACTGATAATGGAGGTGAGCCTGGCTCACCACATCCTTGCAGGACTGGAGCCTTCTGGGATGCCCAGCATCAGAACTCCAGCCATGGAAACAGTTGCGACGCTGGCAAGCCTTCCCCAGCTCCGGCCGTGCTGGACAGCAATGGCCACCATTCCTTGCCAGCCACTGACAGGGCTCTCCTTCTCCAGGAATGCCCTTAGTCCATTTTTAAGCCTTGACATGAATCATGTTGCTGGGATTCACGTCTCCTTAAAAAACATTAAGTAAGCAAGCAGGTGGAAGCAGGCTCCAGATCAAAACAATGTTCCTCTCCCCAGGGAAATCCTCCTTCCCACGTTCCCCAGAATCCCAGGAGAAAAGCACCCCATGGCCCCCGTGGGAGCCTCCCACCCAGAGGAACAGCAGCTCCAGCTTTCGGGAGGTCAGGTGCCTCGACGCCCCGCTTCTGGGCTTGCCAGCAGCAGCAGGCTGAGCACTGCAGGGCTTGGCATGTGCAACCGGCTGGCTGGCCCAAGGTCCACAGGACGTGTTGAAAAAGGAGACAGGGCTCCTGCGCAATTGCTGGCTTGTGCACACAGGCCCCCAGCCCCAAGGTGTCCCCTCCCTCTCAAAAGCCTGATCTGAGTCTCCCCAACTCTCACTTTAGGACTCGCAGAGCTATGGGTGGCTCCGTCACGTTCAAGGCAGCGTTAACGGCACGGCTGGGTCTCATTCGCCCCTCCTATGAACAGGTCCAGAAATTAATATCGGAGCATCCACCCCAACTAACACCAGGAATAAGGTAAGATACTGCCTGAAAATTATTAGATTCTGCAATTATCTCTGAATTCCAAAACATGGAGTTCCCTGTATATCTTCCATGTTGACCTCTTACGAATTACAGTTGATTAAGAACTGGCAGCAGTACGATGTAGGAGAAAATAAGAGACACATTCTAAGGAATGAACCTCTCTTTTGCCTCTGCTGAAAGAGGCTAAAAGAAGACTGTTACATTCTCAGTTTGGAAGATCTGTATTTTTGTCTCTCTTTCTTTCCACTGGGGCACGTTTGTGAGATTAAAATGAACACTGGAAGATTTACCAGTTAAGAGTGAAATTTCTTTGTAGAATCGGTTGTGCAACATTGGCAAAAACTCAACAACAGTGTGGACCCAGCTGCCAAGATCTGATGCACTTTCTGCTCATTTCAGTGAGCTTTGTGCAGCAGATGTTCCCAGCAAATTGGACTCTAGGATCCTAATCCTGATAGGTTTCAGAGAAAAGCTTAGAAACATGGAGCTGGAAACAGCCAGAAAGGGCTTGTGTTGAATTCCCTGTGCAAACACAGGAGTCACCAGTTGCCGAGAGAAAAAGCACTGCGCGCAGAGGAAGACCTGGGAGAAGCGCCCTTCCCGCCTAGCTCTCAGGGCCACGGTAGCTTTCATTCATTCGAGGGCCAGCTGTGGCCACAAGGGGCCCCTGAGCCTCTCGCTTGCGGATCGTGCTCACCTGTGAACAGAGGAGAGACGGCAAAAGAGGCCATTCTTAGTGCAAGAAAGGAGAGAGGCCTCCCCAACTCCTCCCCACATCTTGGTGCTCCCTCTGATGTTGGGTCTCTCCTCTTTTTCTCAAAGGGAGCTGGTCAACCGACTCCACCTGCGAGGCGTTCAGGTGTTCTTAATCTCTGGGGGGTTCCAGAGCATCGTCGAGCATGTTGCTTCCCAGCTGAACATCCCCGCAGCAAACGTGTTTGCCAACCGGTTGAAGTTCTACTTCAATGGTAAGGTTTCCCGGACAGCTGCTGCCACAGGAAATGGGGACACTGGGCTTCCTGGGACGGATGGCAGGGGCGAGGAAGGCTGTGGGTGAATGAGCAACGAAAGTGGCTTGTCGATTAATCCACGCTGCAGTGCTGCACGGGGGCAAATCTGACCAAGGACCTTCTCCTTTTCAGAAGACCCTTATGTGCAGGAGTCCTTTAAAGAAATGTCCAATTTCATTCTGTGACAGTATGGACAGGAATATTTGCCTTCGGCTTGAAAAATAATTTCTGAAAGCGTTTCCCTCCAGCCAGATCCATTCCTTTCGGGTTCAGAACAAAAGGCCAACCCACAGATTGGCCTCTGAGGTTTCACCTGCTGGCTGAGGAAGCTTCAGCTGAAGGGATTTGCTCCTGGTCTTGTTTTCCCCCTTGTACAAAGCAAAGGCCACCCTATAAATGGTGTTTGGACTAATCCATGATGCATCCTGTGACCACCAAAGAATTCTGGGTTTCAGGGCGAGTATCGCCACAGGTGACTCTGGGGTCAGAAGTCTGGCTCTGACTTGAAGCCTCTATTTGGCCTCCTATACCACACATTTAACCAAGCTTGAATCTAGTAGAAAACTCGTCTGGGCTTCTCCCAAAGAACTGGAAGGTGATCATTCTCTGCCTGAGAATCTTTTTTTTTTAATTTTTATTAAGATTTTTAAACTAATACTGAAAACATCAATCATCAGATACATTGGACATACTAGCTAGGACATACTGCCTGAGAATCTGAAAGCCCTTTACAAGCCTTCAGCTCCTCTGGTTTCTGGATGACAACTACGACGCCCATTCCAGGAGGCTTCCTTGCTGGTGCCCTCCAGATGTGCTGGACTACAAATCCTAGCATCCCCTTGCCAGTCATGCTCAGGAATGCAAAGAAGAGAAAATCTAAAGGGAGTATTCACAGCAGGGCTGTAACTTTTATAGGACCGCTAAATGTGGGAGCTGCAACGGTCTGCAGCTCCATCGGACTGAGTGAGTTCCGGAGAACTCGGGAACTCGCTGTTTCCTTGCAGAATGTTGTGCCAATGTTCCCTCTCCTGCAGCCGGGAAGAGCGAGAGATCCCCCTCTTCCAGCCCCCCAGCCACATAGAGCCACTGAAGGAAGCAAGCAGCACAACTGGCCTGTCAGTTGTAACTTGCCTGGGGGACCGGAATGGACCGGTCCTTCTGGGGGTCGTGCTCTTGCTCTCAGCTCTGGAACTCAGAAGGCACGAGGAGGGTCGCTGCTGAGGCCGGCACCTTGGCAGAGGGCGCAGCAGGTCTCTCGTCCACTCTGCCTTGAGAAGATGCAGCCGCAAAGTTAAAGACTTCGTTCTACCCATGATACTGTGCGTGGTTTTAATGGCCAGGTTCAGCTTTCAGGGGCACTAGAATAACCAGTGTGGCATCGTGGTGAAGAGCGTGGGACTGGGACTCAAGCGATCTGGGTTGGAGTCCCCGCTCGGCCATGGAGCCCACTGGGTGGCTTTGGGCCAGTCACAGACCCTCAGCCCAACCTACCTCACAGGGCTGTTGTTGTGGGGATAAGATGGAGGAGGAGAGGTAAGCTGCCTTGAGCCCTTTGAGGAAAAAGGCAGGATATAAATCAAAAAACGAACAAACAAACCAGGGTTGTTTAAGGAACACCATGGGACATGTTGCTGTGGAACAATAGGCTTCGACTTCCACAGGGTGAAAATGATGTAGGTAATGCACCCTTGAAGATCCTGTACGGATTTGAAGATTGGATTTTCCTTACCTTGGGTATTGACAAGTCACAGTGATGACAGTGAGGGAGAGACTGAATGGGGAACAGTTGGCTAAATCTCCACCTTAGTATGGAGGCAGAAAAGGGGTTCCAAAAAGGTGTTTGCCAAGGAGTGGAGCTGGCATTTCACTCCCTTGGAACTTGCTTTTAATTTCAGGGCTTGGTCTAGAATGTGTAAAGCAGGATAGCGGGGCTTCTGAGCATGTACAAACTGTTGCTCCCGCATGCCCTGGGAGATAGCAAAACCTCACACACAGGGACTAGCAAGGACGCCTTCTGTATCAGAGGGCGTGTTTCCTAGGCCCTCGACTGGTCACCTTCTGTACCGGAAAACTGCTGGAGGGACAGTTCTCTCCACCACCGGCACCGTCTTCGTGCATGTCGCACAGAGCGTTGCGGCAGTTCCTCCCGCAGCGTGCTGCAGGCGCATGACCCCGCTCTCTGTGACATCTCCCTAGGAGAATACGCCGGCTTCGATGAGACACAGCCCACAGCCGAGTCGGGCGGCAAAGGGCAAGTGATTAGCTTCCTGAAGGAGCAGTATCAGTTTAAGAAGGTGGTTATGATTGGCGACGGAGCGACAGACATGGAAGCCTGTCCACCTGCGGTGAGTGTCCGAGGACGTGCTGCCCCTGCGGGAACGTCGGCGGTTCTCTTGGGAGCCCAGCACAGTTTGGACTGAGCTCCCCCGATTCTGTCCTCGTAACAAGCAACTGAAGTGGGGAGGTGGAGAAATGCAGGGAGCGACGGCTGCAGGGCACCGGCTGAGCTTCCTTGCTGTGTGGGAGCTCAGGCCACACGGAACCATCTGCCCCTCAGCCCTCCTTCCGCAGGCAGACATCCTCGTGCGAGCCAAACCTCAGGTGCCGCCACTTGGCCAGGTCAGATTGATGTACAGGTCTGCCTGCCTTCTCTTCCCCCCTCTCGTTCTCACACACACAGGGGTCCTGGACCCTTTGGGGCCAGTGGGCAGCCATGGAATCTAGAAAGAGTAATATGGGTGCTCCATGTGAGAGCGTCATATTAAAAGAAAAGCCAGGAGGGGCAGGACCGGCACATGGGCACCCCGGGCCTCACACTGGGTACCTGGCTTTACTCATTGCCACGTTGTCCCGGGGACTGCCGAATCCCGAACGCCTCACGTGGCGGTGGCAGCACGTGAAACCACGTCATGGGGTACATCCCAATCCTGGGTATTAGATAGCAGGGAAAGCCCATGGCCCTGTATCAGCAAATCCGGAGCACTGGAAAGCAATCCTTTCGTGGACCAGACACGCTGCTTTTCTCTGCGTTCATGGTTGTGGCTCTCTGTTAAGGGCTGCTTTTGGCATCTGTCTGGGGCAGCGAGCCCAGCCAGTATGAACAGGTCACAGAGGCCAGAGAAGGCCCGAAGAATCGGCCTCGAGTGGCAAGCCCCTGCTGCAGCCCTTGGCTTAACATTGACGCAGGCGGCCAACTTTTTTATATCGTGTGGTTGACGGGAGGGGAAGGTAACAGCCGCACCTGCTCCTGGGTGGCTGAGCCAGGAAAAATCCCTCTGGCACCAGTGCTCAGTCAGGAGGGCTGGCACCCTGGGCAGCTGGACTTGACCTGGAAGAGGGCTGGAGCCCCACCACCCTCTGCGGCATCAGCCTTCATGCAGTTAGGCAGCAGTCACTCCACAGTTCAGCCTGGCCTGTGCGCAGACTCCGGCGGGTTGCCGGGGAGTGGAGGGCCCCCTCAGTTCGGCCTGTGTGCTCTCCCGTGCATCTGGCTGGGAATCGCAAGGCCCGTGTTTCTGACACAGCCCATCTCCTTTGTGTTTGCCCAGGACTGTTTCATCGGCTTCGGAGGCAATGTTGTGCGGAAACAAGTTAAAGAAAAGGCCAAATGGTACATCACTCATTTTGACGAGCTACTGAAAGAACTAGAAGAACGATAAATTATGAATTGGACTTAATTTTATTAACACTTGTCATAGGTAGATACATTAATTATGTAATTAAACATATTCTTATTGTTATTTGCAAACAGATGTATCTGCAGCCTTTTATTTCTGGGTGCCAGGCAAGCTCCTGTCCTTAGAAACGGGTTCAAATGGACACCCGTACCTTTTCAGCCAGGAAGCCTTCATTAAAACCTTGAAACTGAGGGAAGGAAGGGGGCCAGGTTATTGCAGGCAGGGTGGGACCCTGGCCTTCTGAAGTTCCTCAGCTGGCCATGCCACTTTCCCATGACAGCTTTGAGGGTTTGCCAGCTTTTGTGCATTTTTCCTCATTCTGAAAGGTCGAAACACTTCTCCTAAGCCTGAGTTACTGGCAGCGAAAGCCCTGCGCTACAAAAGATTAATGGTTTTCCATTTTCGGCCCCATCTCATTGTCTCTGGCCCTGCTGGAGTGTTGGGTTCTCCAAATGAAATTCAGCCCTCAAGCTGAAAGAAGCACCACATGGCTTACAAGGGCTCCCCACTTTCCCAGAAGCCAGATGCTCTTACAGGGAAGCCCAGTCCTTTATTCCCGGCTGGATGGCTGTGGTTACCGATAGTTAAAATGTACACTTCGCACATGCTTAAACACACTGCTTTTATGTCTTGCTCTGATCCATTTTTGATCTCAAACGTTTAAAAATGGATGGCCTGGTTGACCTGTAGCTTAATTTCAGTGGTCAGCTCCCCATCTTAGCTGATAGTCTTCAAGAAATTAGGAACAGAGGGCAGCTGTGGAGATGGAGGAGGAGAGAGTCAGGTGGCAGCTGGGAAGCAGGGAAGGTGAAGGGTTAAAGGGAAGGAAAGTTGAAGGGCTAGAGTGAGACAGGGCTGCACAATGAGAGGATACTTCAAAGAGGTGTGTGCACCCTGCTTCATCCACTGCTTTTGAGGCAGCTTCCAATAAATGCAAAAACCTGCCACACTCCGATCTCATCACATCTGGCATACTGAAAAAACACCATCAAAGCCACTGAGCAGCACTGGAAGGAAAAGCACAGACAGCAGGCCACCCCCAAAAGCCTTTTGGAAAAACAGGGATGCACTGCATTTCGTAGGATTCATTCAAGGCCAGAGCTGCACACAAGACTAAGTGATGTTGCCAGTTTTATTTTGATCCTTTTCTTAATTATGCCAAACACAGAATTTAACTTTTTCACAGCAGCTGCACACTGAGTGGATAGTTCATTCAGTGATCCACAAAAACAATCCGAAGACTTCTTTCTTGAAATCCTAAACAGAAATCCTATATATCAACTTAGTGTAGTACCATATAATTGACTCGGGGAAAACCTCTGATTGAACCTAGAATAAGCCGAGCGGTGTGGTGTGGTGAGAGTGCCACACTGCAGGTATGGGAGGTCCAAGTTCTAGTCCCTGCTCAGCCCCGGAGCTCGCGGGGTGACTGGCGCCCTCGCCCTCGGCCACACAGGGTGGCTGTGGAGCCCGAGAGGAGCTGTTTGAGCCGCTCTGGGGTCCTCACAGGAGGAAAAGAGGCAAGCTGTAAGAGCAATGTGGTGCTATCAATGGGAATGTGTCTCCATGGGCACGCCTGCACGGTTGTCCTTTCCAAATGAAAATTTCTACTTGGAAGAAGAAAGTCAGCTGTGGGAAGCAGCTTCAGCTCTGGCGGGTCCAGGCCTGCCCACATCCGCCCGCAGGGTGGCACCGGTTTCTGTGCCCCCACCACCCGCAGCTCTCTGGGTGCTCCTTTTGCCCCCCCCCCCCGGGGCTTCAGACCTGAGGTGCAGCCCTTGAAGCCACACTGCTTAGGAGAACTCAAAAGAGCCGCCGCAGCTTGGTACTTGGAGAGACACTCTTGTGAGAACAGTAACGGCATTATCACGGCGCCAGGAAGCGTGCGGGGTGCCAACATTCCAGCGTTCCGGGTTGAGGGAATGCCGAGAGCTCCCTCTCTTCTCTTCGGCCAAACAGTGATGCTGGCCCATGGAGTCTGGACAGCTCTTAGCTGATGGGCTCGGTGAAGGCAGCTCAGTGAAGGCAGTCCCGCAAGACATTTCTTGGAGGAAACCAGTGAAAAGGCTTTTCACCCACTGCTGCTGTCAAGAGAGTAAATGGAATAGTTGCTCTGTGCGCCTCCTCCAAACCCTGGAATGCAGGGTCACCCAATGAAACCAACTGGCAGTCAGTCAGCTCAGGAGGAGGAAGGAAAGGAATTGCCACACAATGCACCACCGATGTACAATCCACTGCCTCCAAGATGCGGCAGCGGCGAGCACTTGGGATGGCTTATAAAAAGCAGTGGATGCATTTGAAGAAACAGATCTTAGTCTTTAGAAGTATACCTGTTCCCTAGTAGCATCACCTCCCTGGAAGGTAAGAGGTAAGTGAAGAGGAAAGGGCTCACAGAAAAGGTGGAGCTTGTGGGGAATTTGACATGGGAGAAGCGGCATTCTGAGTATTGCTATTTGCTACGAAAGCTAAGTAGAGCCTCCTTGTCCAGGGCAAGTCTTCCACAGAGCACCTGGAGACGAAGATGAATGGAAAGGGACAGCTATCTTCCTCATGAATTACCAAAGACCTTTAGATGCCGGACTAGCTGGATTGTTCAGATGAAGTTGCCACCCCCAGATGCTCACGCATTATTGTAGTTCTGCTTAGCCATTTACATCTGTAACAGACTTCCACTGGGAATCCATCAGCTCACACTAGCACCTTTTCCCAAATCTCACGTGCTCTAGCAGATTCACTAATGACACAGAAGCAGGTGTGAGTGGCACCATTCACCACTGCTAATATGTGAATCGGGCTACTTTCTGAAGGATTAAACTGTGCCAGAGTGGCCATGCATGCTTAATCAAAAAGAGGGGGGTGATAATTGCATCATCAAAAACAGAGGACAAACGTGGACCAAGATTTACAAAAAACGTGCATCTGCTGATTTACGGAGCAAGCGCCTGGCTATACTTAAGGAGCAACTGACTGCATCTCACCGCTGCAAGAACAGTGGTGACCAGGCGAGCTCAGTGCGCTGTCCAGGGGCTAAATACTGAGCAGTGACTTCCAGTACCTGCTGCTTGAGGTTTTTGTTCTTGAATGTGGACTTGGGCGGAAAGAGGACAGGTTCCGAGGAGATGGCTCTCCTCTGTAAATCAGGGAACGCAGCCACCAGAAAGAGTGGGGAAGCAAGACTGCAACGGAGAGAGATGGGGAGAGGGATGAATGAGCCAAAAGTGGGTGGGGGAAAGCAAGCAGGGTGGTCTTGGCAGTAGTGGGAGGGTAGAAAAAAGGACGTGGGACGGTTAGGCTGCAGAGAATTATGTGCACCTGCAAAGCAGCAGATGAACGGCTCACCTTGTATATTTACATGTATCTTAAAAGCTTGATGATGGTGAGGGGCCAAGATGAGGGTGTGCGCGCGCGATGACGCAAACTGGGCAGATCTGTTCCAGTTTATGACACAGCATTTATATCCTGCTCTTTTTCCTCTTGTGAGGAACCCAAGGCAGCTTCCATAGCTCCTCACAACAAGGATGCACAACGTGTTGCGTCCTCACAACAAGAAGCCGCGTGTGAGGTGGGTTAGACCGAGTGACTGGCCCAGTCACCCAGCCATGACCGCGTGCGGACTAGAACCGGATCCCCCGTGTCCCCAGTCCCCTCCCGCTGCACCGCACTCAGACGAGGCGCTGCCGCCTCGCTACCACGTCGACCACATTTACATGGAGTCCGGACGAGACCTGTCGCTCGCACCCCTCGTTTTTCTCAACTTCTCACCTGTCTTCTGAAACACAGGAAACCCACCCAGGAAGGCAGCGCAGCAGCCCAAGGCCTTCCAAAGGATTGGGCCATGAACCCACCGGCTTGGTCTGTGCCTTGCCTGGCTGCCGTCCACCTGCTGGGACTCCCCTGGACTGCTCATGGCTTGGCATTTCCATTTACGTAACAGGAAACAGGGTGGTGAAAGGGAAACTGCACAGCAACAGGCCCCAGCTTACCGCTCTCCGGACGGTTAACCCATCCGATAATAATGTTAGATGCAGGAGACAGAGAGCACAAGGGGTCACACGGGAAAATTCCATGACCGACGCATAAGCAAACAGCAACGCACGGGAGCCGGTGCGGAATGTGCCTGGGCTGCGTCCCAGAGGCATTCCACGTGGGGGATTGTCAGGTGATACACCGCAAATCCATAACTTAGCTGGAAAAAACCAGGATAATATGCCCACGGGACTCGCATTCCAGCAAACACAATGTTCAAAGCAGCTTTATTTTGCTGAACCTTAAGACACTTTTGTCCACTGGGGGAGGGGGGGAACCAAGACACTGAGACGGCCATGTGGTTCCTCATTGTGGGATAATATATAAAAGATCAGGAAATCTTTTCTTTGCTACCGCTCCGTTACCAGAGGTGTGAAACCTCTTTCCATCTCGGCACTCTCAGGGGAAGCGTATCAGCAAAGGGGGTGCAAAGGAAAAAGAGCTGGGCCCCACAGACAAATGTTGCCAGCGCCTTTTCGCTTCATGCTCTTAGTACTTGGTTCGCTCTTTTAGAATGGGAAGAAATGCACAAAGGCCAGGAAATCATCAAACAATATATGATAGGGAAAAGGGGTGTGGACTTCTAGGGAACCCCAGAGTGCTGGATTGGGCTCCTGACCGGAGGTTCTGCCCCCACCCCCCGATCGATGGCTATCTAGTTGCCCTCAAAGAACCAGCTGGTTCGTTCAATCAGAGAATGAAATCAGCGCATCTCTAGCCCACTCAAGCTTCGGCCACACGCTATCCGGACACAGAACTCTTAACAGCCTGTGAACAAGAAAGGAAAGTGAGCAAAGGTGCAGTCCAAAGAGTAGAGCGAAAAAGGACGCGTGACTCCCAGTGTTCCCGAGCCAGCAAGTCAGGCATTTCTCAGCCATCGTACACAGAGCTGGACTCGAAAAGCACAACCCTGTCTAAGAGTGGATGGAAAAATGGCCTTCAAGGCCTACATGCCCCCCATTTTAGTCTAATTTTGCATAGGATTGTGCTGTATGTTATTAGTGAATTCAATGAGCTCTAATTGCAGTCAACATGTACTAAAATATTGGTAAAACACCTTCTTTGCGGCTGTAAAGACTATCTCAGTGAAAAATCAAAATCTAGAACCATTGAAATAACTCCAAACAATGCCAATAATATGAGAAATCAATAGGGTTTATCAACACATTTTGCCAGAAAACTCACTGAAATGTATAAAGTGGATGTTTCCTAAGTGATTGGACACAGACTGTATGCACTGATTTGTTAGCTAACAGGATATCATTTCAACATACAAGATGTTCACAAGATTACAGAGACATGAGAAATAAAACCCTTCTTTTCTAAAATGAAATCAAAAACAGGAAGCTGGACACAAAAGACACCGATGATTTGTGCCAGTCCGAAGTGATTAAACATGTCTCATGTTTTCATCAGCTTTTCAGAATTACCTTCAGCAGTTACATTAGACAAATCACAGAAATGGATGAACTCATGAACAATCATTCAAGGCAAACCCCTTTCCTCACACACAGGTGCTTCACTGCACAGTCCAGGAGTGCTTTTAACACGGCCATGACATCAACTCTTCTTAACCCAGTAGACCAGGGAGTTCTCAAGTTTGGCGCAAGAGCAGCGTCCCCACCCAGTCTGAACCTCCTTCAGTCCACGCTGGGGAGCGCCTCATGCCTGCCTCTTGTCCAGAAGGAAAATCGTACTGGGAGTGAGTGCTTGCCACTCCCACATCCACCGTGCCAGAACCAGCTTGGGAAGGGGAGGTGCTGGAGAAGCACGATGGAAAGGAGAAAGGGTGCAAAGCAGCATGTCCTCCTCCTGCCCTAAAGACAGAATGCCCCTTTCCAGTGGCGAAGCTGTAAGAAGGGCCCCTCAAAGGCTGGGTCTACTTTCTTGGGGGCAAGGACATGTGGCTCACACCCCGAAAAGCTTTATGACCGTTCCATTTCTGCACTGTGGTATCAGATCAACACATTCCTCCTAGCACTGCTGGCTCCCAGAAATACCAGTCTCATTGCCTTCCAGCATGGGAGAAGGTCTCGTTACTTAGGATGAGAGGCGAGTCCTTGCTTTTAAAAGCAACAACCTGCACTTTAAAAATGTTCATCTTTGAGACGGCGCCTGCTTGTGGGAACAGATAAAGGCATAGATGTGATGGTTGTGGGTTATTTCAATTGATTGTTCACAGTCAGTGACTGAAGTATGCCTGTTATGTCATTCAAATCAGGAAGCTGCATTTCGGGGGCTGATCATTCAGACTGCAGTCCTTTCCGACAGCATATGCTGCATCAGCAACGGTCGGTTTTTGTTTTTTTTTAAAGGTCAGTATTTTCATTCAGCAAAATCAAACATGCAGGCCTTGGACTGAATGACTTCCAGTGGTTGGCGTGGGGAGTCTGTGTGTTTGCATGCTTCTCCTAATAATTGGTTTAAGACCAGCTATTTCCCTGATATGCCACCTGAAGTGGTACAATTCAGAAAAGGTGTTACTGATTAGTTTTACTTGACCAGACAGAACTGCAAAACAAACTATTTCAGGGAGGCCAGCAGAAAAGAGGACCAGAATCAGAGGGTTCAGAGCAACCTTCCTGCAACCTAACCGTCCTTCTTCCTTTAGAATAGTTGTAGCCCAACCCATCCGGAAGGCACTCGGTTGCAGAAAGGTGTTTTAAAAACTCATCAGAAAGAGGGAAAGCAGGGATTCCACGGGTACTCTGCGCAATTCCAAGTGGAAAAGGGGGGAACGAGGATTCACTTAGCCACTGTGTGTTACTTCAGACAAGTAATGCTAGGTATGAAATCAAGAATGCAAGGGAGTCGACCTGAGAAATCCCTCCCCGTGCCCCTGATAATTACAGTATCATTCAAGTGCTTAAAGGTCGTGCAACTACTACCGAGCCTTGTGCGTTTCCATCAGTGCCCCCTGGCTCTCCAAATGGCTGGCTGAGCTTGAAAAGGGCTATTTCACTGAAACCCAGGTGAGGTGGCTGAATTCCAAGACTGAAATAAAGACCACACAATTTTCCCAAATGCATTTTAACTACAGGATCTGAAGAAAAAGCAGCTTCACATATAAGCCCCCTGTATACAGGACTCTCAGAAGGCAATGTTTCCATTGCTGCACACATACAATCAAATTAGCGAAAAGACGTAAATGTTTCTCAATTCAAATATACCCGTAGGTGTCAGTCAGTAGTTTTACTGAAGTGGAGAAATCTTCAACGGTATCATAATTCTGGATTCCATTTCCTGAATGAGGGGCACTGGGGAAAAAAATAAAAAATTGTGCTTGTTTTCAAAAGAGTGAACACAAGATCACACATATGGACATGAACGCCCTCTGTGGTTGCTGGCCACACTGGCTACATTTCCCACAGCATCGGGCAGCCATGTGCTGGGAACATGAGGGGGAGGGTGCTGCGGTGCTGGCGGCGTTCCACTCGCGGGCTCTGCCTCGAGGCATCTCATTCGTCACAGGGCTCATCTAGCAAGCTTCTTCTTATGTGCTCATGTGATGTCAGTGAGGTTTTGTAGGGATCAAAGCTCAGGCAATGGCACAGAAGAGCGGCCAGCTCTAGAACCTGGAAGCTCCTATAAAGGGGGACTCAACACCCCCCCAACGCTAACCAGGAAAGAGGAGAGGAGAGCTCACACTGCTACCCACCTTCCTGGATGCCCCCCGCACCCACCGAGGATGGCCATGTCCCAACAGACAGCCAGCCTTCCTGTTCCCTGATGCCAGCCCGGAACAGAATTTGTTTTCAAACCAGGCTTGTCACCATGATCCACACTGGAGGAAATTAAAGGGGTGACCGGGACCTTCTGAATCCTGAGGTCCTTCATTAGCAGAGCCCAGTCCCAGATCCTGGGCTGGATCCAGCTGACACTGGATCAGCTGCATTCACACGACTGGTGTTCCCTCCTTCCACGGCAACTGCTCCAGGCCCCCGAACATGCTACCTGGAGAGGCGGAAGCACTTGCTGGATGGGCTGAGGTACGTGTGGTGTGTGGGAAGGAGGGGAGATCCAGACAGGGGGACCTTTCATGAGGCCCCTTCTTGTGGCAGGCAGACTCTCCAGAGATGCGGTCCTCCCAGGTTTCCATAAGAGGTACTAATCAGGGGAGAAAGCACTCCAACCTCCAGGACCAGGGCCTGTGACACCAGTGTCGCGCTCTTACCTGTATAGTACACTAGCTCATCCCACCCAGGCTTGTGCCATGCAGCGTTCCGTATGTCTTCTCGTTTCTGGAGATCTTTGTAAGCTGAAAGTGTTGTGGGGAGGGGGGCAGATTTAAAATAATCAGCATCTTAACACCCAACACCTTCCTTTCAAACACCGCAAGGTCTATCTTCCCCAAACTCGTGCTCTCTGGATGTACTGGACTGGAAACCCTGTCAATCAAGCTTGGGAAGGATGGGAGCTGCAGTCCAATAAAACGAGAGAGCACCAGACTGGGAAAGCTGCCACTGATAAAGCACTTAAGAGCAGCATAATTAAGAGCCTAAACTGATTTTCACTGCTACGACTTGGGCCACCCTTCTTTGTGGCACTTCTGAAGTCCCACGGAACATTGCGAAAGTTCATTGCTAAATAAACCCAAGGTCCCCTGCCTTGATCTGAAGAAACAGCCTTTCTCGCCCACAACAGTTGCCGTCTGAACATAAACGAAACCCAAATTTTCTAAAGGTGACTTCAGTAGGCAAAGCCTGTTTCACACATAATACTAGTCCATGGTTTATTTAACTCATGGCTTGCTGTCCTACTTAGGTTTTCTCTGACAGATGATTGAACAGACTGCCATTTGTTTCCCCACCCTGGATCACTTCCCCCCTTCACCACTCCCTCCCTTTATGCCAAAGGCTTTGTGTCACTGCAGCGATGGCATGGAGGCGCCTGACTTTTGGTGTTTTAATTACTTTTGCCTAGCCACCCCTCCCCCCACTCCGCCACCCAGCAGCCCGGCAAAACGACCTATGAACACCCCATCGTTCTGGGTTCGTGTATAACCACCACCCATGGTCTCACCATCTCAGAGTCCATAACCCAACAACACATCATGGATTGTTCTTTTGTGTTGTTTGTGGTTCACAAACCACGGTTTGTCAGTGCAGCTGGATTTGCACTTCAATACAACCAGAATTCAACAGAAATAACCTTATGTGCAAATCAAGCCATGATCAAATAGCCCTTTATGTTTCGAGCTGAGCAGGAAAGGGAGTGAGATGAATGCCCAGAATGTAAGAATTGAAGGTCAGCCCTACCCCAGAGGTGATGAACCATGTAGAGCTGTCCAATCTGTGAGAAAAAGCCTCCCACGGCTTCTTTATCGTCCTGCCGGAAGCGGATGGCGCGAGCCCTGGAAGGCAGACGACAGAGCTTGACCAACAGTGCATTCGTGCTGTGCATGAGGCAACTGTTAAGCCAGGACTAACTCTGTTCCACACGTACAGCATGACCACCGAACACAGCAAGTAACAACACTCCTTACCGTGAAGCACCGTGCAGCACTACAAAAGGGGGGGGGGATGTGTGGCCCTCTTCTGGTGTGGTTGGACTGCAACTTTCATCACCACTGGCTAGGCTGGTTGGAGCTAAGGGAAGCTGGCATCCAGCTGCATCTTTCCCACTGCTGCTGTAGAAGCAGGAAGGGGCGAATCCAGAAAACTATGAATGACTCCTGGATCTATTTTTAGGTCAGGGGATTGGGCCTAATTTATGTTGAATAAGGAAAATCAAGCTTGTGCCACTTGGCCAGGAAAACAAAAGGAGTCCTCAAACTTTGAAAATAGGCTTTGTGAATAAAAGTCTAGCTCACCAGCCACCTAGACACCCATCAGCCGCAGCTATTGGGTGACAGTTTCCAGAAGTGACAAAATTTTTCCTAACCTTGAATCTCTATCTTTGTGGGCCATTAAAAAAACACAACCACAGGCCTCCTGCTCTAAGTTGGAAGGAAAAGAATGTATGGAGGTAGGGGGTGGGTAGCCATATATGTAATTTTGACATTTTACTTCTGCTTAAAAGACTATCAGTGCTGCTTAAAAGACTATCAGAAATTATTGTCGAGTCATTCGGACAGCACCTTTGGATGGAAAATAGCACAAGACCTTCTCTTAACCATCCTCCCTGCCACCTTACAAAACAGGCTCGGCCTTGGTTCGTCTCGCAGGTGCGGAACTCAGGACTATTCCAGTTGCAATTTTTCCATCCTCACAGACATGGCTGGGCTGTGCATTCAACAAACGGCAATCCCGCAAACTACATTTCTTGAGTTATTCCAGCATGCAAGGAGATACCATCCCCTCCAATTCATTACTGAAAAGCTGGAAAACTCTTTCCAGCCAGTCGTTCCTTCTGTGCAATTCTGGGGCTCATTCTTCCCATGCAGGGGGCTCTCTGCGCATCAACGAAACCTGCTCATGAAACGAGAGGTTAGCGGATCGCTGCGGACAAGGGCGTTGTCCTGAGCTGGAGCTCCAGGTCCTTGCTGGGCCTGCTTGCTCCAAAAGTTTTCAGCAACCTCCTGTTTTCAAGTAGCCACTTCCGGCATCGTTTCACCTGCTGGGACCAACCCAGCGCATGGGCCTGTTTTGCAGTTCAGCCTAGGATGCCACCCCCAGCACAGCAAGGGACACTTACCAGTAGTTGCCCCATTCAATCATTGTTCCGGGCTAAAAGAAGAGAAAGAGTGTAACTAGAACCAAAGAGCATGATTCTTCCACCAAGCATGGGAAGCAAGCGTGGGCGTCCCCTCCTGCCTCCAGGAATCCTTTTGGATTCTATTCAGTAACTAAGAAGAGAACTCAGCTCAAGAGATGTGAAGAGACGGGTTAAAACTAAATTTCCTGAGGCAGTTTTTCACTTTGAGGGCCAGCATTAATCCTTAGCATTGTTCTGCCTGCCTCAAACAGTTCAATGGCCAAAGGCCAGGTGCTTTCAAGAGGAAACAAGCAAGGCACTGATCTTAGTGGTGCTTCCAGTCATCCTCTACTGGCAGGAACTGGCTTTTATCTTCTCTATCAGCTGTACCTTCCAGGCAAACTGCAAAGAAAACCTTACATAAGAGGGTGTGTTACCCCACTGCAGTCTTGCTCCGAAGGCCAAATGTGTGCGTATCTGCATTGTTTATTGATTTGGTAAGAAACAGACTAGTTTCTGAGGTGAAGTTGAAGGCAGGTGCATTTTTTTCATTATTGGATTGCTTTCTTTAAAAAGAGATGGACATTTTGTAAATGAAAAAAACCACTCACACGCAGTTGATAAGACCTCAGTTCATATATATTAGGCCCTGTCCTGGGAACAGGTTCATTCCAAAAACTGAATTCCAGCAGCAACTGGTTCTTGCGGGAGAGAAGCATATTTCCCCTTGCTTTGCGAAATTCCATGAACTCCTAGAAATAAAACATAGAATAAAAATCTCAGTATTACTTAAGGCTGCAATAGTGGGACTTTTTTTTAAACATCCAGTTTCTCCTAATTACAACCTGGACCTGAACAGCCCAGCACCAACCCTAAAAGAGGAGCTCTGTTCCCAAAGGGAAGTTGTAAAGTCTTCCTTTAAGTGAAAATTCTGGATTTAATAAGGAAAGGGAAAAAAGTACACTGCAGTTGCTAGGATGTATGGCAAGAATGAATCTTCTATCTGTGAAATTGTGAAAAAAGAAATGTGTATGTACAGTAGATCGTGTTCACCACTATCCACGGTTTAAGGCATCACTGGGGGGAAGTTGGAATCCCCACAGATATGAGGGTCTCACATACACAAGATTATATATATGTTGAAAAATGCCATGATATTTATTGAACATTAAAGCCAGTTCTCTTTCAGCTGTATTGGCTGCCAGTTAAATTCCAAGCCCAATTCAAATTGCTGATGTTAGCATTTAAAGCCCTCAGAGGTTTGAGGCCAGATGACCTGAAGGAACAACTTGCTCCTGCCTAGATTCTAGGATCTTCTGCAGAAGTCTCTTAGGGAACCACCCCCAAAAATGAGGGGCGTTGATAACTGGGAGAAGGGCCTTCTCAGCAGTTGCACATCTGTGGGACATAATCCCCAAGAAGAAGCACCTAACACCATCCTTGTTAGCTCTTCAGTGCCAGGTAAAGACCTGTTCATTTACTAAATATTTAAATAGTTAAGATCTGTTTTAATTTGGTTTGTATTATATCTGCTGCAATACTATGCACTAATTCTATTTTAAAGTTGTCAACTTTTGCCATACTAGTGTTTTTGTTTATTTAACTGTGATTACTGTATTGTTATTTATATGTTTTGAAACGGTAAACTGCCCAAACTGCATAAATAGGCTATGGGGCAGGATAAAATGTAATAAATAAAAGCATAATTTTTATTTGAAATGGTGGTAACACCAAAAACAAACATAGCCCATCCTTTAAAATAAAATACTGTGATATGAAAGGCTAGTGATATGGCAATTGAATTTTAGCTGTTGTCTAAAACACAGAATACTTTGCTCCACCTCTCTCTCTCACCACACGTTCTCGCAAGAGCCTGCATCGCCATACACCCAGTGAACTTTCCCTGGTCCCTAGAAGTAGCGTTATCTGACGCAACTTTGCTTTGCTAATAAAGAGGCTGCTCCATGGAACCATGTTCTGTAAACATGGTATGTCTCAAGACCTAATTTGTTTTCTTTCCCCAGGTTCTCTTTGTCCAGTTTGAGCTGTGTATGCCTGGGAAGGTTAGTTCAAAGATTTCCCTGAATCAGTGCTGCACAGGAGACATCAGAGATGACTCAGCAAAGGTGAAAACAGATAAAGACACTGTAGTTGATAAGAAGAGGAAGTCAGTCAAAAGAGGGCAGAAAAATTTGCAAAGCAAATTTGAAAAAGAGCTTACAACAGCCCAGGGTGTCCTTGGAAGGTATGATAGATAAGGCATCCAGAAAGTGTTAATGCTGTGAAAGCAGCTTCCAGGAACTGATAACCAGAGCACACAGGTTTGACTAGAGCAACTAAAAATCCCCCTAAATTAACAGCTACACTTCCTGGGAAAGTATAAAACCCACGACATTGCAGGAAGTGTAGATCCCTATTACTTAAACAATCAGTAATAGCACATCTGTAAGGATGACTGTGTAGCTTCTTCCCTGAAGAGGGGAGCTGGGCCTAACAGCATTGTGTGCACTGAGGCCCCATCGGTGCGGGTGTTCAGGGACAGGCGGGACGTGCACATGGTGGGCATGTCGTGAGCGGAGCCGGCTGGAGCCGGGGGTCAGACTAGATGGCCCGGGAGACCCCTTCCGACTCGATCTGTTTCTGCGTTTCTATATTGGCAAGGACTGGGCAGCAAGCCACCTGATGAGCTCTGGAAGTCTGGGTGGCAGCCTGCCTGGCCAGCTGCGTGTGGGGTGGGCACAGCAACCCAGTTCACAGGGGGAGGCATCCCATCACATTGGCACTGTGGAAATTTGGAGCGGGTTTTCGCTTGTTAACTCAGCGGTGTCGCTGCAGCGAGAGCAGAGATTTGTCTTGAAAAATAAACCCTTCCTCTCCAACTTGGAGTGCTCCCTATCTCCACTGCTGTAACATCCCAGGAAAACGTAGCGTGATCAATTCAGCTTCTCTGCCTGGTCACCCTTTCCGGGCAGCTGCCAGACCCGGCCGGCTCTTGCATGTCGGCTCTTGCATACCGAGGCAAGACCCTGAGAAGGCAAGGCGAAGGGCAGCAGCAAAGCAAGGTGCTGCTGCTGCAGTTTTGGGGGAGGCAGCAGATACAAGGGGGCAGAAGGGTGGTTGGTGGGCCACCAGAAATGGCTTGGTGGGCTGCATGCACTCCATGAACCATACCTCTGTACCCCTGGACTGGGTCCTGGAAATGTTCATGGTTTGGCTTCCTTTGCTTGCTTAAAGAAGGGGAGTCTGAAACTAGGAGCTAGTCCAGAACATTCTTGCTGAACCCAGCTTCTCCTTAATTGTTTGCCAATCTAACATACAAGTGGTCATTCATTCTAGAGGTCAGATTTTTTATTGATTGATTGATTGATTGTATTTATATGCAACTCCATAGCCTGGGGACTGTCTGGGAGGCTCACAAGAAGCAAGAACGACAACATAGTCGTAAGTCCATAATAAAATTAAAACTTTAACATCTGAAGCAACATAAAATCCAATTAATATAAAATACAGAAAGGGAAACAAATGAACCAGCAATAAAACCAAGCAGCAAAACAGTGCAATAAAACCATGATTATTCCAAAAACAAGTACAAATGAAAATAAAATAAAATAGATTGGGATGATGTCAGTCTCAGCACACTGACACTCAACACAGTAGAGATATCAACATACATACACATGTGTGTGTAGAACTCCAAAACTTCTGTTTCCATTACATATCTCTTAAAACATCTTGCATTTCAGTTTGTTCTATAAGGCATTAAACAGCCCAATTCTATGTGGATAGAACTGCACAAATAAACCTATGAAAATTAATGAGCTTAATTTTCACCAAATGCCATAGGACTGGGCTGCAAAAGATTCTTTTCCCTCCGTTTTACCTTGTCATCTCGAAGCTTGCTCATGACCTCTGTAAGGGCCGGGTAGCCTCCCTCATACCTCCACAGATGGACTGGAATAAAAAAGAGCATATTTAGGAGTCCTCTCTCCCTTTCCTCGATGGGCTTCCATCTGGCTCCCCAAACCTCAGGTCCATGTTCCCCCAATTCTGCTTCCATTGCCAACCCACCCACCACCTTCCCTCTGCTCACGGTGGGCACCAGCCTCCCACTTCCAACCCCCATGTGGTTGATTAGCTATTTCATTCTCTTCCAGTGCCTGTCAGACCACTGGGTTTTGTAAGGTCTCAAGGCAGAGACCTTTCAGAAGCCAATCTAGAGAGATGTTTCTTGAGCCATCGCTTCTCCATGAAAACCACCACCTCATGCCTCCTCACTGGGCATTTGCTTGGCTCCAAGCCCTCAGGTCTACAACTGGACACTCTCCTTCTCTGCTCCTATATCATTTCCTCCTCCTGCCAGCAGAAGCACCCAGAGGAGGGAAAAAAGAAAGAGCGCACAACCCAGCAGCACATTCTCCTGTGCAGGACTCCTGAAATCAATGCAGGGCATGCACTTCAGTACAGCCTTTCTGAACCAGCCGCCTCCCAGATGTGTTGGGCCCCAATTCTGATGATTCTGCACCCAGACGGCGGGAGATCTAGTCCAACACATTAGGAGAACACCAGGCTGGGGACAGCTGCCATAGCTGCTCCATGAACCACTGTGAGCGCGGCCACAAACAGTGGCCAGTCATTCAGATACGCCACCATTATAATCCTTCTGATAATTATCTGAACTGAAATGTTCTGCTCAGAAAGCTGCATGAATGGGCCAGACACAGAGGCTGAGAGGGACTGTTGAGCTCCCCGAGGCACAACTTTTGAGGAGCCTGGATCAGTGAGCGAGCAACCCAACGTCGCATGCACTCCACAAGAGCCAGTGAGGAAGGCAAAAGGTGCACATGAAACCTTTAACCGTGTGGCAGTGCCTGGTCCCAAACCCAAGCCGCATCCCTGGAATGTCTCTTGCAAGCGGGGACTTTGTCATCAGGCACTGCCTGGGGACAGACGGACTCTGAACCTTTGGACTCGGCTGAGCCAGCACCTGCTTTGTCTGTGAACTGTGCTGGGCCCTGCAGGGCATCACTTTGACCAGCCTCCTGTGACCATCTCTTCTGTCATCTGCTCTCTGCAGTGGCGCTAATGACAGCTGTTCACTCTCTGGCTCTTGTCTCACACCCTGCCATTCCTTCTCCCAGCTGGAATGGGGCATCTGTTGCACAAGCACACAACACAGGTACAGTTGTGCATTCGAGTGTATGCCTTCTCTCCTACCAGCCTGATCTTGCTCTCCGTACCACGTGTTCCACGTCCCCACCAGTGCACATGGATACTCCTTCTTGTCGTGGATCTTTGGCAGCACCTCTTGACTGAAGAAGGGAACGAGGGAAGGAAGGAAGGAAGGCACACATACACATAATTCTGTGTTTCTGTCACTTTCACTGATTCTTAGCACAAAATCACAACTTTTTTCACTTGAAACTTTCCCCCACATGTACTGAGATACAAGCGCACCAACGCTGGCTGGTGACCCCTGTGAGCCCCTGGCAATGTTTATTTATTTATTTAAAATATTTCTATGCCGCCCCAGTCGCAAAAAGCCTCGGGCTGCGGCTTACAAGAGAGACCCAACACACACAACCTTAAAAATTGCTTTAAAATGTTGCTACAGAGTTCTGCAGGGAACCGTTCTGTCAGCAAGCACCACTGGTTTGTCTGCTTGTTTGTTTATTACGTTTTAGACCATCCCTTACTGAAGTCTCAGGATGGTTTAACAATACAAAATGTAAAATGAAACACAGCATCCTAAAAATTCAACTGACAATAAAACCCCACCTGCACCATCAGTGTGCAGATGATTTCCGGAGGTCAGACTAGATGGCCCGGGAGGTCCCTTCCGACTCGCTCGGTTTTCTATGTTTCCCGCTCTGTCTCCCTGTGACAAGTGAATCAGAAGTGGCAGGGCAAGCTCTAGACCAGTGTCTGGACTCATTAATGGGCTGAATGAGGGCTAAAAAACCGAAGCCAAATCCTGGAAAGACAGAAGTCCTGTGGGTGAGTCGTTCCGAAGTCCAGGAGAAAGGCTTATTGCCTGTTCCGGAGGGGCTTGCACTCCCCTGAGAGATCCATCAGGGGGACTCCTAGATCCAACACTGGAGCCCCAAGTGACTGTGGTGGTTCAGACTGCCTTTTACTACCTCCAACTGGTTCACAAGCTATTGCCTCCACTGGACAAGGAGAGCTTGGCCCCGGCGATACAGGCACCGATAACCTCAGCGTTGTTTGTTCACCCCAAATGAAAATATCCCAGAAAGTAAAACAAACAAACAAACTAACCCTAGTATATCAGCAGAAAATATTCGAGTTCATCCCGCTCCCCACTGCGCTAGTTTCCTTCAAACCTGCCTTTTGAAGTGTTACAATCCATGATAAGAATTCTACCACTTCATTTTCCTGCATGTGAACCCTGGACTCAGCTACCAACAGAATGTATATATATATATGTCTACACAGAAATAAGTTCCATTCAAGTCAATGGGCATTACTCCCAGATAAGTGGGCAGAGGACTAAAGCCTGATTTCCCAATGTTATCCATGTTTAGTGAGAAGCAAATCTCACCAGGCTCAATGGGATTTCCTTTCAAGTGTGTTTAGGATTACTAATTAACAAGCTCTAATAACCTCTACAGTGTGATTCTATGCATACTTAGGGAGAAAAATATTCAAACTTGTATAAAATTACTCCCTAAATCCTCCAGTGTGCCATTCAGACTTACCAAAGCTTGTTGTAGGATTCCAGGCATTCCGGTTTGACATTGTGAACTGAAAATAGCAAAAGTCAATGTTGAAGGTTGAAAGAAAGTACATAGGATTTTAAAAGGAATATGAGAAATGTTAAAATTTAAACAAAGCAACTCACACTGTAGTTTATAAAGACTGCTGGTCTCCCTTTTGGCTAAGAGATTGGAATGAGCATCTTTCCTGGGATCTACTTTGCGAACAAACAGTGACTTTAACCAGCTGTCTTCCCCGGATCGGTTAGTTGATGAGACAAGGCCTCTGCAGGCGACAAAGACAAAGCACATCATAGAGGATCCGTGGACTTTGTTACTGAACAAAGAGAGTAGGGGGAGTAGGTTAATGGTTAGCTTCCTGGGGACCTGCATTATTTTTACGTAGAATTCATACTGTCACACAGTTAAGATATAATGACAATCCAGTGTTTGGGATGAGCAATGGTTGTTGATAAATCATTCGTGTTTGTTGAACTGTGATGCAAAAACCCTGCATTATGATTTAACATTGACCTGGTTCACATGTAACAGCAATCCAGAATATGAGTACCAGTTGAATATGGGTTGTTATTGAATCATACTTTGTCTGGTCCCTTTACCTATAGGCATCCATTCTGTTTCTCCATATTCTGTCCTCCCAGTAGCTTCTTGTCCATGATACAGGTTTCACATCAGGATGACTGGATCATTCCTATCTTCTCATGAGCCACAAGGTCAAAGGCTTTGCTTCAGTCTATAAAGCAGGGACTGTTCTTCTGAGATTTCTTGGCACTTTCCAGTTTTTTCAATCCAGTTCAGTTCATTAAAGGTACTGAGAAAAGGTCTGTGTAACTGCACACCTTATCGATGAATTAATTCACTAAGGGCGTGGTCCGGCACATACTTACCCAAGAAAAAAAATGGATCAGAGGGGCTTTCCAGGTGCTTTGCCACCATCACTATTAGTATTACTTTTTCTATTTCTATACTGCCCAACAGCCAAAGCAATCTGGGTGGTTCACAACAGGGACTTCCCTGAACATTTGATACCACAGCTTCTTGCATTCGACATCACAATTGTCCCTACCCCATTATCTGGCACCATAAATCTTCCACGTAGTCTAAAGTGTCTGATCCTGTCTAATCTTGGAAGCTAAGCAGGGTTGGGCCTGGTTGAAATCTGGACGGGTGACTTAAATATTGTGAACTGCCCAGAGAGCTGCAACTATGGGCAACAGAGAAACGTAATGATAATGGGACAAACAAGTTTCATCCAGGAGATCCGTGGATTCGTGGTGGGCCTTTGGTGGTGGAATTAACACACTGAGGCCACAACCTTATGACAATGAAGAACAGAGAAAAAAGTCCTGTAGCTCCCAGCATGCCCTAGCCAGCCATATGAACTGGGGCATGCCGGGAGTTGCAGCACTCACCCCCCCC